GCGGAGGGGGGCAGGGAAGGGAGTGGATGAAGTAAAGGAAGGAAAGGAAGGAGAGGAAAGAGAGAAAGGCCAGAAAGGCGCAAGCCAACTCCTCCGCTGCAGATCTACGCTCCATCGCCTCGTCTTCACTAACTCCTCTGTTCGCCTAGTGCTCAAACCAACCCCCAGCGCCTATGACAAAGAACAGGCAACAGCAGCAGGCGAGGAAGAAAGCTGCAAAGCAAATAGTGCAGCCTACTAAAAACGCAAAGCGCTTCGTCGATAGCCGAAGAAAAACAGTCTCCGTGAGGCATGCGACAAACAGCGCGCAGGCTATGGCGAGATTGGGGAGTAAGGCGAGGAGGAGGAGGAGCAAGAAGGCGACGCTTCGTGCTGGCGCTGGGGTTAGGCAGGCCGGAGCGGGTTCGGCGGGGCAGGTAGAGGCAGCATGCATGATGCCCAGCTCCGGAGTGCTCAGGCACAGGGGTACGGATACAGAGCCTGGGAGGTGCCGTTCTCCAGCAAAGTTACCACTTCCTCCTCGTCCCGCTGCTGCTCTTCCAGGTCCCAGTCCGCGAAGAAGTCCATACCGTCCGTTGATCCACCCACCCCTCGCAATCGCGGAGAACACGGTCGCTTCATTGGTTGCCCGCCGTTCGCACTGTGCTCTGATGAATAGAGCCCCTGCGTTCTGTTTTGATATAGTCGCGATGCGCGTTCCTGAACTACAGCCTTCCGATAGAAGCTATCGCGGCTATCCACCCACTTATACATGCCTATCCTACGTACAGGAAAAAAGGAAACGACAAAACAAAGGTAGAAAAAAGAAAGAAAGTAGAAAAAGAAAAGAAAAAAGAAAAACGAAAAAAAACACCGGAAAAAGGGCGGGGGGGGAAAGAGAGACAAAAAAAAATGGAAAGAATGAAGAAGACTGCAATAACTGGAAAAACTATAGGGGCGGAACAGGTCAATCAACAAACTGGATTGCGAAATTAAGACCGACTCATGCTCCCAATGGCCCTCGTACCTACGCAGTTATTCGTCATGCTTCGAGAGCGAGTTGCTCCCGTGATCTCTCATTGGCGTCCAAGGGTTCTATTTTATTCGGCCAGGGCTTGGCTATCCCGCCGCCCCACTGGTTCAATCGGGAAAACGAAAGAAAGGGGGGAACAAAAGCAGAAAAAAGGGGGAAAATAAAAAAGAAAAATAAAATTAAAGAAGAAAGAAAGAAAGAAAAGAAGAAGAAACAAGAAAAGAAAAAAAAAAGGAAAAAAGGTGCATGCGTTCGTCCGAAGAGTCTTTCCAGCCTTGTGAGCTTGCCCATCCAGCTCCTGTCGCCTTCTCCCTTTCTTATCACTTGTATGCGCGTGTGTGTGTATGTGTGTGTGTGTGTGTGTGTGTGTGTGTGTGTGTGTGTGTGTGTGAGAGAGAGAGAGAGAGAGAGAGAGAGAGAGAGAGAG